TTAATGAAAGAAGGATGTTTCCAAGGAGCTGATCTCCTTTGGAATGCTCTGTAATGATTGTTGTCAAGTCTTTCTGACTTTGTGCATAATCATTAAGAGGATCAATGCATATAAGTTTAGAATCTAACAGATTTCAGTAAATGGCATGAATTTGGAATTCTTGCATTTGCAGTAAGGATTTGGGACTGTGAAAAGAGGATCATTGGAGTGATGTTCAATTGATCTATTTTACAAAGTAAAGATCATAGACAAACATAGTATGCATACTTGGTGTATGGCATGACTAGTGTTTAGAAAACATAGTGTACATGCTTGGAGCATGGGACAACTATTGTTTTAAATTCAAGTATAAAGTTGATAAACCGAAACAATGAATAATGAGTAATTAGTATGGTGATAAATAAAAGTGTTTATTTATATTCATAGGGTTTGATACCATATTTGATTCATTTATTCTTGTGTTTCACTTTGCATGTTTTGACTTCCAGAATACCTAAGTCGCTCTTCCTGAATGATTAAGTTATTCAAACCATCCACAGTCGGTCATATGTTGGAAGTAGATATTAATTAAGACTGTCATGGGTTGGTTTGTAGAGGTCCAAGTTGGTGGACAAAGTGGTGCTACAACACTCATGAGTGCTCATAAGTTCTGAGTATTGGATTCAACCCGCGCTCATTTGAATCACTTCATGGATTTTATCACGAGTGATCATGAGACGATAATATCTTATATTCTTCAAACCTAGAGATATGAGTTGTTACTATGAGTTGGTTATACATTGATTGCACGAAAACGCATTGGTAACTCGATGTTATAAAACATGCCTTTGTGTATGATTCAACAAGTAGTAGAACAAGCCATATGAGTCGAAGTTTATCCATTCCTTTTACCTTCGGGATAAAAGCGATATTTGTGGGCCCCTCGATGATTTAAAGATGATACATGTGAGTGCTTGGCCAAGCAAAGGACTGATTTGATTTGTTCAATCAGTTAGTCATCATGAATCGGAAATCTGGAAACAACAAATGGACAGAGAGAATGATTGATAATCCATGTCTCAGTCCATATGATATCTGGAATGGAGGAATATATGATCCCTTATCTAATGGACAAGTCATTGACAAAGGTCAGAGTTCATCGACAAGGTCAGAGTTCGACAGAAGCTTTTGAGAGCTACGATTGCTGATCGGTTCCTGAAGTCATACGCAATAATAGTTTTAGACTTATCCAAGTGGGAGACTGTTGGATTAATGTCTAAGTCCATAACTATAATTGGTAAGACTTGACCCGACCCGGCATGGTCCATTTGGGTTGCATGGCATCATGCATTTATAATGAGAGAAATAACACTTAAGGTTGGTTAATATATTATAAGTTCTAATATATTAATAAGGTTATTTAATTAGTATTGATCAAGAATTAATTTGGAATTAATTAAGTGATCAAAAGGAGACTAATTAAATATATGGGTTGATTGTGTAAATCATTCATTCTTATATATGTGGGCTTGTGATCCAAGATTCCTTATGTTGGACTAAGTCCATGAGGTGACCCATGGATACTCCATGGAGGTTAAAATCCATGGAGCATAAGGAATGGGTAAAGTTATGAGTTACATGGTGTAACCCTAATAGCCACCATATAAAAGAATCCCATGGCTCAAGAAATCGTGCACTAATGTGTGAGTGTGAGGGCTAGACGATTTCAAGGAGTGTTCAAGTTTCTCTCAAGTTATTCCAAGTGTATTTGGTGTTGTGTGAACCATTTGAGGTGTCACACTTGGGGCACTAGGCACTCAAGCTTCATGAAGACATTCTACATCAAAGAGGTATGTATTCTATCTTGTTATATTTATTATTTTGTATGCTAGATTAGGATAATACCTTGGATGTTCATAATTGTATGTATAATAGAGAAAACATAGATCCAAGGTATTTAGGGTTGCATGTACACTTAGGAGTGTTAGAATGCTCATAACCCAACAATAGTTCCCTTACACACAAACCTAACCCTGTTCTTATCATTTTTCTCTAATTGTATTTCCCTTCTTGTCCTTATGGAATGTAGTTTCACTTGTGTCTTACAGTCCTTATATGAACTGAAAGTTTGAAAAATGTAGAAAGGTTCACTAACCAAAGCTGCATCATTTTCATAAGCCCTCTGTATGGCTCTCATAGTTTTCCTTCGCTTACCATCATTTTCCTCATCTGATGAAGACCCAGACAACAAAACCTCCGTGTTAATCACTTCCAAGTCACCTTGTTGTGTATCTTCAGATACATTACTTTCAGAAGAACCTCCAACCCAGTCTACATCCTTGTCAATGTTCATATGGAAATCTTTCATATCCACATCAACATCGTGTATGGGATTGTCCTCATCAATAAAAAAAATCACTATCTTGACTCTCACTATCATCATCAAACTCATCACTTCCACTACAATTGTTGTGTCCACTACCATCATCATCATCATCCTCATTCTCTAAATTCATTTCAAAATCAACATGGTCGACCACAGATGGTTCTTTGTCTAAGTGACTATCATTCTCAACTTGTGTTTGGTCTGGAACACTCTCATGGTCAACTAGGGTTAGGTCTGGAACACTCTCATGCTCAATTGGAGAGTTATGCCACTCCAAGAACAACCTTTTAGATCAAGCTGGTGGCTCTTTAATTTCAACAATTTTAACCTTACTAAGGTTGGGGGACATAGAATAAGTATGTAAGTTTGTTTTCCCATGCTTAATATATACGTCTATTAGCTTATGGTTACCAACATACATACCCAGATGCTTAACATCCTGATCAGAACCCAAAGCAAATAACCCAAAATCCAAATCGCCAAACGGTCTCAGGAAATGATAGTAGAGCAGGAAATGATAGTAGAGCAGGGTCTGGTCTGAATCAATACGACCAAGTTCCTCCATCATCTCGTCAATGTCGTGAATGGAAAAGGTGTCAATGTCTAGTAAATCAACGTAATTTTGCTTGCCTTTGATGTACTTTCTTCCAGGGAACTGTGTAAATTGTCCACCATAGTGTAATCGAACAGAGAATATCATCGGATGTCCAGATGTAGATTGAGGGGAAGATACATCAGTCACATATTTTTTTGTTTAAGTTACTAACTGATCGAGGGAGTGAACACTTACCATATCGACGAGCAACGTCAATCTCGTCCATGGTAGCACATATCCTCCAAGGCGCCATCGTCGTCTTCAAATGTAGGGTTCTTTCGATCAAAGGTTTTCAAGGGTTTTTCAATGGTTTTGTCTGTGAATGTTTGTGTCTGATCACACTAATAACCGATACGTCTTTTATTTCTTGGCGGTAGAATGTTGGCAATGGTAAATGACTATTATACCCCCAACGTGCAAGGCACGTGGGGTGTCTAACGGAAACAATTGACGGATTGTTAAAATAGGGACTAGGCGCGTTACACAATTAAAACTTGAGGACAGCCCGAGTTAGAAAAATAAGTTAGGACCAAGCGTGCAATTTATACTAAACCACAGGGACCATTCGCGTAATTTACTCTATTTAATAAGTCTATAATTAAACATTTAGTAAACTAATCATAATAAATTGAATTGTGATAATTGTTCTCTTATATGCGATTTATCTTTTTTACACCAACAAAATAATAAAATTATATGTGAGTTAACATATAGTTCAACAAAAGTATATGTAATTTGTCTAGTAGGAAGGAGCTAAAAGCATGTTTGAAAATGTTTTGTGATAAGCTAGAATTTGTTGGAAGAATTAAAACTCAAACAAATTGAAATAAAAAGAATTTGAATATGCCATGAACCATGCCTTTGGTTAACATAAAATGAAACCGAATTCTTTGACTATTTGGTTTATAATTTGAATGAGTTTAATCTAATCATATAAGATGAACAATATGGTTTTCATGATGGTTTGTTATGTTTATTTTGTTTTAGAAAGTTTATTTATTAATTATTTTTAAACAATTGTTCTTTTATGTAATTTTATACATTTTAAAAACTCTATTTTTGACAAACATCCATGTAACAAATAAAAACTACAACTTTCAATTACCAACTAGTTTTATCAAAAACATCCTAAGTTTTTTTATATATCTGTGAAGCTATATTTTAAAAACTCTTTTAGTAAAGAATAAAGAATGGTATTAGATTGTGGTTTTTAAGCTCTATAAAATAGGTCTGACTATAGGTCATTTATCGATGCTACCTAATAAATAAAAATAACTTATGTCACATGTTATTTTTCTAGATTATTAGTTTAAAATTTTATCTTTTATTCTCATCTAGTAGTAGTCTCATATATTTTTCTTTATTAATTCAGTTTTTTAAATTCAAATAAATCAATATATATATATATATATATATATATATATATATATATATATATAAAATCCAACGAGATTTACTTATATATACACAAACCATCTATACAACTATTTAGAATATTTATTCTATTATTATATCTAAAATTTATAAACTTTATTTTATTGACATATATTATGAGAAAATGTAAATAATCTCAAATCAATTTTAATAAATAAAAAAAAATTACCACATGTCGTACTCTCATTCATTTTGGCATATGTTATTTTTTGGCTATAAAATTAATTTTTTTTTAAAAACAAGTGATTTGCACGGGTCTCTAACCTAATAGACTAATAAATGAAACCAAAATTCGTTTTCCTCACTCATAGGAATAGCAAAATCTTGATTTTGATGGATTTCAAATGAATTCAACTCTTTCGAATTCACATGTTGACAAAATCTTCCATTTCAATTCCTTCAAAATTCATGATTCTGAGAAACATTTATGAGTAAAAGAAAAAAATTGTAATTGAAAACTTATCCAAAACCTTCATGTTCCCCTTCAACCCTAAGAGATGCAAAAATTTGTTTCTCCGATTGTATAAAACATTATATTATTTTTATATATAAGTTTCTGAATTCCAAAAAAAAAAAAAAAAAAAAAAAAAAAAAAGTGGGCTAATTTGCCTCACTTAATCCCTTCCATTCCATTTCCATTTCCACCATCATATTTACACTTGCCCTTCCTTATACCAGTAAAAGTCCCATGGCAGGTCAAACCCTAAAGTCAACTCCAGCCCCATAAAAAAACCATTTCACCCAAAATCAAGAATCTGCAACAAAAAAAAAACAACACATTCTATCAAGTCTTTGCATACCCTTTTAAAACTATTTGAGGGAAATATCAAAAAAAAAAAAAAAAAAAAGATTCAATGGATTTTACTGAAAGAAAAACATACCACTGCTGATTCTTTCTGAATTCTGTAAGCACAGGATATATGTTCTCAAATGCAGTATAAGTTTCATCTCTAACCTGAAAGGGTAAAATTGGAAAAGATTAAAGTGAACTTATTACTTATGGAATCAAACATTCAAAAAGGTTAAATAAATTATCACACCTTAGCTCCTGTAAGAACAATCTTCCCAGAAACAAAAATTAACAGAACAATTTTCGGTTGTTTCATTCGATATATCAGTCCAGGGAACAACTCTGGTTCATACTGTATCAAGAAACAGACATGTCATGTCAAACACAGTACAAACTTATCTGTCATGTCATGTCATAACTGTTATGTCATGTTATGTTATGTCATGTCAGACTTACACTTGAAAAGGCACCATGAGAGTATGCAAGGCCTTCAAGTCTAATGGGAAATTTTACATCACATGACCCCACAATGTTTTGAATTTTGAAATCCTACAATCCATCATCATAAAACAATACATCCTGTTAAAATGTTTTTTAAAAATTTTTAAGACTTTATATAATGATAAGTGTGATTTATGGTGAGTGGTTACCTTAAATTTGGCTGGAAACCCAAGTTTCTGAATAATTCTTGCATACTGAAGCACCAACATTATGCGTAACATGATAAGGAGAAAATAAGAAAGGAAATTAAGAGAATACGATGTGTTGTTGACTTGTTTCTTTTTTTACTTAATTCATTAAGCTACATATTGGTGTGTTTCTTTTACTTAAGAAGAAAAGAACGACTTAATAGAAAAAAGTCAACCTTCCGTGCTGCCAATTTTGACTGTTGTTCACTCTTGGCTCCTGTACATACCTAAAAAAAATACGTGTCAATTTTCTTTTTATTGATTTTATACATAAAATGTAAAAGAAAGATTATTTTTAGAACAATGGAGAAAACTAACTTACCATTTTTCCAGAAGCAAAGATTAAGGCTGTTGTTTTTGGTTCTCTTATCCTCATAATTACAGCAGCAAAACGCTGAGTAACAATAACAATAAATGAATATATTATCGAATTTTATTTTTATAAAGAAACACAATTATCAGTTTATATATAGAGTAATAGAGGAAGCTTCAATTTCCCCAAGTGTGTCGCCATTTCCTCAAATGATTTTTAAAACTTCATTAATCTAAACAACATCTTAACTCGTACCTTTGGATTATATTCAGCATTACGAGCTTGCAGTGCAATTGCCTTCAGGTCTAGCTTGCAATCAAGATTCACAGTAGACACAATGTTCCTATAACAGTAAATTTCCATCAATCAAGAACATGATTAGCTCATTACAACATATATTGACACACACACGAGTATGCTAAAGTATTCAAACATAAGGAGATGATTATGATGATGATAACACTAAAAGGGATAAAAAAAAAATTACTTACTGAAGAGTAGGAACGATTCCAGATGGGTGCTTGGTTAGATCAACTGGTTGGCTACCCTCCAACACATGCTCTGCCATATAATCCCTTTACTGTTATGCACAAAAGTTAGGTTAAAAATGTAATACCCAGACACCAAAAATCAAATAAATTATTTTCTCCGACATTGAAGGAGAAATTACAGATGTATACATAAAAGATTCACGAATATAGACGAAATTAGGTTTATTAAATTCCGATATAAATGAGTAGCTACAGTTACAATTTACAAATTTACAATACTAACGGATCGCTCAGCCGCTTAGTTCTAAATCGATCACTATAAAACTTCGATTCATCAACATAAAACTCGTTGGATTAAGAAAAAAATCGAAAAATCGGAAGAACGGACATGTATTTGACCTTTTGGGGTGTGGGGTATCACTAATGATCCAAATCTACAGCAGAAAACTGAATTGAGAATAAGACAGGATCTAGATCGGTGGAAATCGTGAAAAGGGGTTGAATAAAAAGCGGTGAAATTTTGAAAAGGGGGATCTTTTATATGAACAGATGATGATTTATAGGTTCTTGTGGAGAGGGATTTGAGACAAAGAACACGAGGTTTGCGGGGAAAGATCTAGATGCGATGAAGAGTTTGTGTGGTGGGTGGATGATATTTCGCGTTTGGGGTTTCTTTTATTTATAAAGTTCCGAAAACACCCTTCGTGAAATTTATTGTTGCTGTTGAACCGTGGGTATAATCGTAAATTGAGGACTATCAGACATCAATAGTTACAGTGTGGTTTTGACTTTTGAGTTTTGGAGCTTTGGGAATTGGGCTGTGACAAATTCGCTGTTTTTGGGCTTTAACTTATAAAGAGTGATAACTGATGAGCTTTTACATGTAGATTACGAAAAATGGGCTCATAGTGCAAATAAAAACTGGGCTCATAGTGCAAATAAAATTATGGCTTATCAAGGGTACGGGTGGAGAGTTTCACTCATTTTTTGTGGGTCACACGTTATTTCTTTCACTTTTCTTTCCCTCATCTAAAGCCTAAAACTCAAGGAATAGGTGGGAAGCTCCCTTTACTATTTTTTTTATTTTTTTTTTTAAATATATTTCATACATATATTATACTCATTATGTAGGGAATTAAAAACCATGAATTTTGATATATTTTTTATATTTTTTTAGTAGGTATATAATTTTATAAATATTAAAAAAGATTTAAAAAAAGAACTGACCAATAGAATGAGAAAAGAGAGTGCGGCACCCCCTCCCCCACCTCTTTCCCGCGGGTTGCTCCCCTCACCCACGGTATGGTGTTCCAGTGAGAGGGAAGCCTTCCCCCTCCCCTTTCCCACTCCATACCCTTCGGCCTGACTATTAGAGGTGCACAAACCGGTTTTTATAGAAATCGGATCCAATTTAAAATCGGTTCGGTTTGAGTTAACAAAGTCAAAATTGGATTGGATTAAAACTGGTTCAAACCAAAAATTATCTGAACCTAACAAACTGGATTGGACCGGATCGGGAAAAACCAATATGGAAAAAACCGACATATGCTTAAATAATCAAACTTTTAAAGATTTTTTGATTTTGAAAAATACATAAAAACATGAAAAAATAATATTTATAATCGCTTGCGGTAGGCGTTTTTGAATTTTTAGATATTTGAGAGTGATGTGATTAAACTAACACATCCATTATGCAAAGAACAACTCTAAAACAGCTATATGGTCGTTGGGTATAAAATAAAAAAATAAAAAAAAAGGGAAATAATTGATAGTTTCCCAAACCAATTCGACTCAAACCGGCTCCCAAACCGAGTTCAACAAAAATACTCTTTCAAACTTAAACAAACCATTGGTTCAGAATGAAACCAGGTTGGTTTAGCTCAAACCAGTTTCTGACCGGATTGGTTTTCAAATCCTAAGCATGTTTCGTATAATGGACTAGTTTTTTTGTACACATTTATGTCTATGGAGTTATGGCTTATGCTTTTGATATATTTTTAGAGTAAAGTGTAAATTAGGTTTTTATGCTTTATCAAAAAATCATAACTTTAGAGTAATTTTTAAAATTGTTACAAATAGTGTTTTTGGTTTTGTATTTTTTTGTGCTTATGGTGTTTGGTCCATATAAAATGGTTTCATGGTTTACGTTAAATCTGCAGTTTTTGAGCAAAACATATGGACCATATCTGCAACAAAATACAAACTTAAGGAAGACACGGAGACAATTTCAAAATTTACATTGAAATTGCAACTTTGTGTAAACCATACAACAAAATTTGTAATTTACTTTACTTTTCATGTTCAATCCTAATAGTCTTCAGTCACTAACGATAAAGTCATAACTTCATTGTTTTAATAGAAAACGACAAAAAACTGGTAATTGCTTACAAAAATGACAAGAAACCAACAATCATTGACATATTTTGTCTTGCCTTGAGTTGGGTACAAGTGACACATTTTGCAATAAACTACGTATTCCTCGCATTCATTTTTAGCCACCAATATGTCTTTCTCAAGTCACAACACATTCATTTTTAGTCTTTTCAACGATACTTGAATCTTAAGTCGCGGTCAAATAGCTTGAGCCTAATGGGTTGGGTTGGTCGTCTGCGAAGTATGTGGGGCGTACTCAACTCGTACGCTGCATGTACTAGCCCCGGAAGGAGTACACTGAGCTGAGTACGCCAAGCGTACTCAACAGTTTGACCTTTCGGTTGACTTTCACGGGTTTGGGCCATATTTTGGACTTTTAGGGTTTGGGCCTTGTTGGGCTATTGGACTTCTGACTTTGGGCCATTGCTAGGTTATGGGCCTTCTTGGATTTAGGCCATGATGGGTTTTGGACCCATTTAGGAAGTTGGGCCATATTGGGCTTTGGGATGTCATTTAGGAATTTGGGCTTTTTTGAGCAAATGGGTTGGGCCAAGTAAGAAAAGGGTAAAATGATCTTTTACCCTGGATGTTGGACAAGCAATTTAGATTCTTGAATATGGGTTGAGATCCAATTATTAATTGGATATTATTTGATGGTGTTAGCACGAGGATTTTCCGAATCAGTAGACCGAGATTTAATTTGAGAGATTCAACAAATTGAGGTGAGTTTCCTCACTGTGTTTGGCAGGTCAAAGACACCAATATTGGCTCATAGTTTATTATGATTAGGATGCTAGTTTTTTGCATGACTCTTGCATGTATGATATCTAACATATATGTCAGGTGGGGCCTGATGATTATATTGTATGCTATTTATATGTGATTCTTGCATGTGTTTATGTGTTGTATGTATACAATGCCAGGCGAGGCTTGATGATTGATAGATCTGTTTCGAGCGGGGCCCGATGACGAGCGAGGCCCATTATATTTTTGATATGTATGGTATGTAGTAATTTGGGGAACTCACTAAGCTTTGTGCTTATGGTTTTCAGTTTATGTTTCAGGTACTTCCGGATCCGAGGTGAAGAGCTCGGGGTGATCGCATCGCACACATCATGATTGTTCCGCATTTTACTTTACTCTGATGTATTTGGATGTTTTGATCATACTTGGATTTTATTATGGTTTATGGATATGTTTTGAAGGATGGTTTTTATTATAATTAAAATGAAATCTTTGGCCTTAATTTTGGGACGTTACAGCATCTTTATGGGCAACATTGTCGCCAAAAATCTTTTATTCTTCAAGTGAAAATAGTTGTAGTTTTTTCATAGTGTTCTTTTTATCATTATCAATACGCATTTCTTTGTATCGAAAGAAGCTAGAACTTGACGAAGGCATTTCTTTGTATTGAATCGAAATTGATTTTGGTTTTCAAAACATGGATGCGAATAGTCAAAACTAAATTCAAATTCGACCCGATCAACCAAATTATAATTCAGTTGAATTGGTTTTAACAATTTAGTATTCAAGAACCAAGATATTTAATATATATATATATATATATATATATATATATATATATATATATATATATATATATATATATATATATATATAACTTGAATATTAGTCAAACATTATAAAAGAAACAAAAATAAATCGTTTAGTTGTAAATTAAAATTTATAAACACCTATTAAAAATATTTTTTAATTCAATTAGATAAATAACTTTTGAGAAGAAATGCATATTAACATTTTTTATTGGGTTTAGTAGATTTATAAATGATTAAAGGTATAAGTACAAAATTAAAGATATAGATAAATAAATAATAATTTGTTATTCGAATTTTGTTTTATAAACTAAAACTAATCCAAGATAATAATAAAATCATTACCCATATATATAAAAGAATTGAAATTAACAACCCTTTTAGAGACTTTTACTGTTCACTCATGCTATTTGTCTATAGCAGACCATAAAAATATATGTTGTGTTTAATCCCAAATCTCGACCAGTTTTTAACTAACAAGAAATTAACCTACTGGTGTCTTCTTCTTATGCTGAATATACACCGTCTTCTTTCATATATTGGTCATTGGTGCTGCTTCATTATGATAAACAAAAGCTTATGTATTTTAAGTTTTCAATGCATGGAAACAGTTCTTGACATACAAGAATTGACTTAAATTCTATGAAAAAACTTATTATTGCTGCTTCATTACAGATTAATATGGTTTGTGACTTAAACTATTCAATGTATATAATTGTACCATTTTAGCATAATAGAAAGTACCATATATTTTATAGGCAATTTCTGCTATCTTCTAAAATATTTGAAGAATTTTTAAATTTCAATATTTGGTATCGATATAAGGTCTTACAAGACTTGTAAAATACTAGTTTGTCATTTCTTCTTGTAATATACTTTTATGACAAAATTTCACTCAAAAAATTACACAAAATATATATTTACTTCATGTTTTTTTTTCTTTATTTCAGGAAGCATGCGAAGTGCTAATTGCTAAATCAAGTAGGCATGCTAATTGCTAAATATCCTAAATTATTAATGTAAAATAGAATTATGCTCTTGAGTCTCGAGCAACCAAGCCAAAATTTGAATGTAAAAATCTCAATTAGAGAGAAATACTTTAAAAATCAGTCAATTATAATTTAGAGCCATTGAATCAGAAACAGAAAGTTAGAATAGAAACATACCTGATTTAGTGATTTTAAAAGGTTGTTGAGTTGAATTATAGTCAAGATTCAAGATAATTAGAAGAGTCAAAGATAAGAGCATATGATTGTGACATTTTAATTAAGGTTGAAGAGTAAAGACAAGAACTGAGAACAAGGTTTCTGAATTAGTGATTATGACTATAAATTTTGGATTGCGATTGTGATTCATAAATCCAAATAAGAGTCTGGGACATTGAGAATGAGATGATTATCGGTTAGTCGCTTACCAAGGATGTGAATCGTTGCCATTAGTTTTACGTGTATCACTAATTGGCAATTGATCATCGAGAAACTAAAGCGACATTCTTGTTTTTTAATTTCTAGATTAATTTCACACGTCTGGAGTTCCAAATACATGAAGTCCTGAACATTAATTAACCTAAAGAGACTTGGGCCTAAATGAATATAGGCTGGTATTAAAGTGGATGGAAATTTTGGGTCTTAAAGAAGAATGAAATTAACCTAAATAGACCTGAGGCTAAATGAATATAGGCCGATATTAAAGTGGATGAAAATTTTGGGCCCTAAAA